CTCTATATAATATAATATAATATAATATAATATAAATATTTATAGCGTAATAGTTAAGCGTAATAAAGCTTTACTTAGTTCTATAAAGAGCTAGTTTAAATTTAATTAAAGGTACTTAAATCTTTCGCTTAATTACTTAAAATTTAATTAACTTATAGCTTAATTACGTAATAATAAAAGTAAAATTAAGCTAAGCGTATCTAAGAAATTAGCTAATAAGCTTAAAGCTTTAAGAAAGAGGTCAATTAAGCTAGCACGTATTATAGCCGTAATATAATAATTATAGCTGTAAGCGAGTATAGCGGCTGCAAATTCGGCTAGTTACCCATCATAGACTGGGTTTCCGCCTATCGGTTTCAAGTTCCAGTGAGAAGCTAGCATTAAACAATGCCAACGGCCTCCCAATAAGCGAGTTGACACACTGGCTGTAGGCGCCGGGAACGAAACCGGCTCGGGAAGGCAAGGAGGTATGGGCGACTCCCATCACCAGTAAACTGGTCAATCAAGCGGTTCAGTTTATCAAACTACACCGGCCAGGATCACGACGAGGTTCGGGAAGCCATTGTCGTGGCTATTAACCTGTATCGTGAAACCAAGATTCCAGAACTTGGGAACCACGTTCCTCTTATTCCAAAGTACGGATGTTATGTGCGCTCTGTCCTCGTCACCAAGTTTGTGGACCCAAAAGTCGACGTGATTTCTTCTGATCCATCCACCGACTCGCCAGCAATCTTGCTGTGTCACACAATTGTAAGCCCAGAAACAATGTTATGTCTGTTCTCTCAGGAGGTCCTCATCGCCCGATCTTTAGGGTTTCTCTTTTACATAGCCCACTCACCAACAGTCATTTGTAGCTGCTAGTGATCTAGATTAAGAGGAGACCAAGATAGCATTGAAGAAGGCATATACCGCCGACCACGGGACAGATGATGTCACAATCCCCATTGACACCGTAAATTGGAAGCGTAGTGCCCCTGCCTCGAATGACAAGGTTTATCTCTGGGATGCAGTCTCCTCATCCGATACCTCAGCTCGACAACGCTTGATGGAAAGCCTCTCTTCTTGTTATCTCCGGAAGGTCCAAGAAAAGATGAACAAGAAATATTTTGAGGATGACACAGCCTCTTCCGCACTTATAACGTCTCAGCTTGGTTCAATTTGTTGGCGTTGGGTCATCATGCTCGATGGTTATACTAAAGGTGTGACCAAAGCTAAAGCCTCGCGGTCCGATATTTAAAATCGGAACTCGTTGAAAGCGTCTTGAATGCTAAGACTTTGGCTAGAAAGATTCCTAGTGCTATAGAAACCGCTGCTTTTCGATCAACCTTCTTCCATCGAGTCTCGTCGACTGATAATCCAACATCTACTACTATCACCGCAACTTAGCTAGAGCAAGACCTCATTTTCCGTATCAATCTAGAGCTCTACACTGCGGGCACATATGAGCTGGAATCAATTATCATTAAATTGCCTCTGGGGAACCCACGAAAAAGCCGCCGGCGTTGATGTTATCGTTTTAAAGGAGCGGGGAGGAGATGATATCTAATCTTCGTTTTAATATTACGGTTGATACAATTACAAAAGATGGCAAGGCAACAGGCATTAACCTACGAATGGTACCTCGTAGCCGACGTGGGTTTGTGCCCGTGACTAGCTGTAGTGAGCTTAGCTTTATTCTCAATGGCGTTTTGATTAGCTAAGTCACGAAGAAGACTGAAGTTAAACTCTCGATAAAAGAGCAGTACCGGAAGGAAGGTTCTTGAGATCCAGCAACTACCCCGGACACGGTAACGTTGGTGCCGGGAAGTACACCAGGTAAGGTAGAAGATATCCGATTATGTATGATGAGAAAGATTCAGGTATTCTATCATTAAACTTTAACTGTATTCTTTTTATCAGGTAATATAACGTGGCGGCCTTACCCAAGCTAAAGACCCACAACGGACAACGTAATAATAATAATATAAAATGCTATTTATAATAGCTAGTTACTCCTAATACTCTTAGCTGTTAACGGGAAAAGACTACTATTATTCGGTATCGTCGAATATAGCCACCCTAAACCTCACAAAGGTTCCCGCTATTACCCTATTATAGCCGTTATTTTAATAGAGATAAATTCCTCATTGAATCACTCAACGGATCACCTACGATATTTATAAAAAGGGCCTAATCTACCTAGCTAGATAGCTTCAATCCAAGGACCAGTACACTAGACTGTTTAATTCAATCTTTAGCTTACAATCGTGATATTAGCCGACGGCCTTAGTTCGCCAGGGATAGGGTAAAACACGTAAACCCGCATGCACCGACGGATTTCACGACATATATTTTTCCTTTATTTCTCTGTTTTCTCCTAAGCTTCTACAAGTAGCAGATGTTCTTACGTGAAGTTTGAATCCTCTGGAGATCAGTTTTTAAAGAGCCGACAGCAACAAGCTCTCTGGGCCGCCGCGACGAAAATCGATGTCACAAGACAGCTTGCCCGACGACCCATGAAAACCATGAGCGCGCTATCTACACCAGCACCGGGGCCGCCAGAAGTCTCCCGTGCATATATGCTAAGCCACGAATTATGGCCTTGGGCAACACTTTGTCCACCTGGATCCCACCCGCGCCAGCCACGACATCATGCTCTTGCGCATCTGTGAGTTTATGCTGATCGTGTCGACTATTTTTGTCAAGATATCAATCAGTCTGTTCCTAAAGCGACTCTTGTAAGTGGCTGCCCGCTTGTTGCCGTGATCGCACTATGCTGGCCATCTTAATCTCACACTAGCGGGACCTTTCTCGGACAGTTTGAAGACCGGGAAGTGGCAGATTTTCTTCTGGACCTTTATCGCCTTTAACACTATTACGAGCATGATCGATGCCATGGCCATCTTCCCTTAGTGCACACCGGTATAATTCAACTGGAACAAGGCCCTCCCGGGCAGCTGCTGGTCCGATGCGGCTATCGATGCACTCGCCCTCGCCCAAGGAAGTGCGCGTACTCCAGGCCATATCAACAAGATTAAGAGGCGCTAACTTACGTAGTTGTTGCTGCCGCCACCGATATTATCCTCTTGACACTGCCAGTTGTCTTCCTCTGGAAAGTTAAGATTGCTTGGCCGGTAAAGTTAGGCATTTGCAGCCTCATGGCGCTTGCATTTGCGTATGTCATGCCCTGGCATAAGAGTGAATACGTTGATAATTCGGTATACACCCACTGTATGTATCTAACTTACAGTCACAGAGGCGGCGCTTTCGCTGCTGTGCGCACTGCAATGGTCCCTGGCCTGACCACCACACGCGCCCCGACGTGTACGTATAGTTATTTTCATGCCGAGTGTTTTCAATTTATATTGAGCTTGTAGCTAACTTGATTTATTTTTCCGACAATAGGGGAATTGTTCCTTTATCTCTGTGGGCTACGTGAGTCTTGCAGCCTAAGCGACGCTTCGCGTACATGACTATTTTTCATAGAGACGCTAACGTCCACGACAGAATGGAAGCCAGCTTTGGTGTCATTGCAGCGGCCGCATCGTCGCTTCGTCCGCTCTTGAGCCGCAACGATGCCACAGCAAACAACTCGTTTGCGTCCAAGCATAGAAGAACTCAACCTGGCTCACTTCCAATTAACAACATGTATTCCGACGTGGATTCGCGCCGCTCATGGCTACAGAGATCTGGGCGAGGCCACACACACTATCGCCAATGCAAATCACGCTAACAGACATCAGACGGCGGGAGTAGCCAAGACCAACTATGGACGAGCAGGGGCAGGGGCATAGTCAAGATTACGGATGCCCACATCACGCGTTCTTAGGATAAGGGGCCATTCAGCAGGCTTGGTAATGATTTCGTGTATTCCATAGGATGTGTTTCATTATGGCCTTATTTTCCCCCAAGTGTCTCATTTTTTATATTTGATTGTATTAATACATACGTGACATACACACATGTCAGCCGATCGGCGGAGGCTGTTGCTGGCTCAATATTGACACTTACCAGGTGCCGAACCCAATGTGCCGAGTAGAATCGAGAAGTGCCGTATACGTAGTATAATTCCGTGTGGAATTAAAACGGCGCTCAAATGCGGAGAACAAGCCAAGGCGCTAAGCACACGACCCCTCTAATCTAGTCCCCCGGCTTATCTTATTTCCTTTATTGAGGGCTATTATCACCATGTAAATACCTTCTAGATAGCTTAGCGCATTATTTGACGCCACTAGTCGGTTCAAGGTTGGCGGGACCTGCGTGCCGGTATAACAAAAATACACACACACACATAAAGTTAGGAAACGTTAGGACCGGCGTTGGCTATCCTTCGATTTGACCCAGACTTTACAGATTACCAATAATTGTGATGGGCGTGTTTTGGACCTTAATCAAACGATTAAAATATCGCGTTAATAAGGATAATAGACCTTAATGCGTGCACGGACCAGATTCTGTGTAATTCGGCACATCCCTGTTACGGAGTACAGTAGACCTGTATCCGCCTCGCAGCTAGGATAGGCTAACTATTTTGAGCTCTAGTGTGGGTCCACGCTAGCTAAGCTAAGTTAGACCCAGATTTGTCAGCCTTTCACCCCAACAACCAGGCTCCAAAAATACTAACTGCAATCTCATTCTCTTATCATCTACATCATTAGGATAGGCTTATTGTCATTACAGCAACGACACCCCAAACTTACATCCCATGAGATTCGACACAACAATCAGCCAAGTCACGCACTGGCTTCAAGATATACCTATTAATTTTCAAAATACTGAGACCTCATTCCAAGTTAAAAGTCACGCTTCGTCAAAACGGAGAAAACTGTCAGACTCAGACCCTTTATGCGCATTAAAGCGCCGACTACTCTTATCTCTACCAGCATCTTTAAAGCAGGTGGAAATGGACTCTATGCAAGGGGCAGTTTCGACACCGAAAAAGCGACAAGCTGCCGATGACGCGAACCGAGATACTGACGATGAAAATGACAACGACCAGACACCACGAGGTGACCCTAGAAAAGAAAAGTTAAGAGGGAAGAGCACAGGAACCAGTGCTTCATCTCACACCAGCAGCACGTATTCTCGGAGTAGCAAGCGCTCCAGAGGATCTCAATCTCCAATAAAAATGTGGCCTCTGGAAGGACCTCTCGGCCATAAGCTTATGCGGGCGAATCAATTCGGCCATCACGTTCCGGCAGTTCAGGAGCTCATTGACCAGTTTGATGCAGTCAACAGAGGACGCTCCATCATGCCCAAATCTCTCTATCAGAGCCTCAGAGATGTTGGCGTGGGAAGATTATATGATGACATGTTTTTCGAGCAAGACACCGCGGCAGATAGGCCTTGTGATAAGGACTTGGTTCGGTATGCCCAGCGCATCGCTCAACATTCAAATACTTGCGCAAGCCAGCTGCAAGATGAGGGAGCATGGAACAACCTCGTGCATTCCCGCTTATTAGACTTGTTTGTTCATGACATGCAAGACGGACCAGACCATGGTATAATTGACTTTCTGCCTTGGTAAGCATGGCACTTGATGGAACTACGGGAAATTGTCCCTAACCTTTCTAGTTTAACAACAAACATGAACCTCAGTTATCATCGCTTCAGCGAGCCGACCAGCCGGGTTGACTACATTATCCGCATACTGCACGAGTCTCAGGATGATGATGTAGGAGACCATGAACCTCTCCAGTGGTTTGACTCTAACAGGATGCCATTATTGAATTGGACTACCGGCCAGTTACTCCCTATTGCCTTCAGTATCGAGACTAAGCGTTACGGTGGTGGTGTTGCGAAGGGAGAGCAACAGCTAGGTATATGGAACGCTGCGCAATGGGAATTCCTTATATCAAAAGCCGGAGAAAAAGCTGTCAAGGAGCTTGACTTCATTCCGGGCGTTGTGGTAGAGGGGCATACCTGGTCTCTTGTTATCACTACAAGGCACCTGAACAGAACGGTATGTAAGATATTCTTTCTCTGACACGTAGATTTTGCTGACTATCATATAGAATGTTTTCCCGGGCATTCAATTTGGAAACACGCACTCGATTATTGGTGTATTCCAGGTTATTGCCGGTCTGCGAATACTACGCACCTGGGCTATAGAGACGCTCTGGCCATGGTACAAAAAATACCTGCCGGGTATAGGCCAACCTAGTGCAAGGGACTTGGTAACGGGGGTAGGACTTAATGAGAACCGACTAATTTGAAGCTAGTATTAAAGCAAACATATAGCAGATAATTACAGATGTTTTACAAGGGATTTAGTTCGTTTGATGGTAAGGGTCGGGTTCAATTTATGTGGATATGTCAGGAGACCAATCGGTTTCCACGGCGCGTCTCAAATTCAACAGGGACGCGTGATTGCGTAAAGGTCTTCCCCCCATAACTGCACACATTAACAAAGACATTGTAAACATGCATCCATTCGTTTATCTACTACTACAGGTACAGGTTTCTATTGTCACCCATGTTTTCGACAAATCCGGCTTTGAATCCTTGTATAAGATGACCAGTAAGGATCTTAGTATCCTTGCTTTTTCATGTTTTGGTAACATAATGCGTGTTTTTACCCTTTTGCTATCCGGTCCTTTTGCCGTTCGCTGTAAATCACTCTTTCAATGCATTTAGATCTTACACTAAGGCCAAGTTCCACCGCGTCGGTGTTAGCAAGAGTCGAGTGTATAATAATAAGTCCTCGGTTGCGTGCCGCACTAACTCAGTCCCTTATATGCACTACATTATTGGCCCCCGTTAATGCATCTCCCGACTCAACCACCATATCCAGCAGCTTGCACCCGCAGCCCTTACATGCACCATCATGCTCCGAGCTGCCGCTGATTGGCAATTGCGCAAATGCTCTGCTCGCCGAAGTAGCCGAAGTTTAGCGCTTGAAGTAAATGTTCCGCTAGATCTGGCTGATAGCTAAGAGAAGTCGTGTATAGAAGTCGACGGAATAACCGCTTGGCTAGAGCATATGCAACGGCGAGGATTATTCTCGTCGTCGCTGCTGGACTAAATCATGGGCTGGTTGCCGCCAGCATGTTACTGTTACCCGCGACATAAAACATAGATATCTGAGGTATTCGGAATCAAGTTTTGGTAATGCTTCCTTAGTGCTCCAGCTACCCGCCAGTGGATTGATCTAATTCCAGTCCCGTGGAATGAATATCAGAAGTTCGCACACCGCCAACATTAAGAATGGCTTTGATGTCTCTTTGGCAACTGCCCGCATGTATTGACAATCCCCAGCGATGGATTTCGTTGATCCAGTCGATAAGTTGCCCGACACCATACTCATCCGATGCATCCGCACCTACGAGCCTCTTCATAGTGCAACCATTCCATTTACCGTCAGCAATATCGGGCTGAAGAACCCAGAACACGAACTTTGGCCCAACGAATGTTAAGCTATAATGCCGTATGGTTGTCGAGTCACTGCAAACAGTTGGTTTTGCTTTTTTTGCCTCAGAGTGCAAACGATAGCGATTAAAAAGCGCTAGAGAAGCAGCCGCGGTGACCCGTGCAACTGCAACGTCTTCAGATTCACCGTCTCTCTTAAACTCGACGCTGAAATACGGGCAGGTTATCCAATCCCGAACAAACGTACAGTTTTGGATTTGAAATCGATATACAGGGCTAAAGCCCTTCAGAGACAGCCAGTAACTGCAGTCTGGTCGGACGTCCCAGGTCCATTCAACGTGATCGAGCATGCCATCATTCAGTATCGGGGGTTTGCGCCAGTGAGCACTTTCTTTCGGAGGAGACACCAATTCCAACATTCGGTCGGCACGCCACAATCGATCCTCCTGTGTCCCGGACGACCTCCATTCCCGTCGCAGAAGGAAATCCATTGCAAGAGACGCGAACTCGGTCTCGCAGAGATTGTACCCTCTCATCTCTTTATATTCGGCGGCAAGCTTGCTCACGTTGCTGTCTTCCATATCAATCCAGATGTTTGCGCTTCCCAGGTTAGGAAGTGCCTTGTATCCTTCTTCTGGTTTCCTGGTGCCGAAATGAACGAATGGTGTTGGAACGATAGCGTTGGTATAATTAACGAAAATTCGGCGAGGATTCAAAACTAATTCGGCAAATCTCGAGCTGCGAGGAGTAATAGTCCTTGAATGTGTCCAAGTGCTGCCAAGCGTGATTTCGGATTCAGCCGCTTCAGACGCCGTGGTCGATCGCAAAATGGATGAGCTTGTACCGCTGGCCGTGGATCTGGCCATGGTTCCATCGCGTCTCGTTCGCCCGACTTTTTTGTTCCCTCCAGTGGACATTGTGGAAATATTCCCCGTAATAACCCCCCAGAGCTCGTTCGTTGCCTTTGAATCGGTCTCTGGAATTTGGTCTAATGGCGAATACAGTTCTGCGTTCTCAACACGGTCGGTGTGATCGTTGGTTGTAGAGGTCTCTGGTGACATTGTACGAAGTGGTTGCTAAATAGACTGACAATCTTTAATGTCTAGCGAGCTGTAGGAGAAACAAAAGACAAGAAGGTCGGTTGTAATCTTCTTAAACTAGATATTGTTATTGCGTTAGCGTGGAAGACTAGTTAGGGACGCGCTTATTAAGCTATAATGCGGTTACCATGGTAACAGTTACAAATCCCCACATCCACAATACTAACCCACGATTTCACTTGGTTATCCCCTTAATAATCCCCACATCCATAACACTAACCCTAACCACGAGGTTCGCGGTAGTCGGCGCGGGATTCCAGGCGGTGAGCGGGGTTCTACCGTGGTACCGTGGGGGCGAGCGCTTGGGCTACTATATTAGCTACTAGGGCGTGCTAGTTATTAGCTATATAAGCTTACTTAATTAAATAAGCGATAAAAAAAATTTTTTTTTTTTATTAAGATTAAGAGTTACTTAGCTTAAAGGTAAGAGCTCTTTAAGAGTTAAAAGAGAAAAGAGAGAGAAAAGAGAAGAAGAGAAAAGAGAGAAGTAAAGGTTACCTATAAGTCTTATAATTAAGTATAAGTTTATATATAAATATATAAGTAAGTAATAACTTATACCTTTCCCTCTCTTTTTCTTATAATTTAATTATAAGAGAAGAGAAAAGAAAGAGAAAGAGAAAGAGAAAGAGAAAGAGAAAGAGAAA